TGTTTCTTGCCACCCTTTCCTTTGTTTGGTACATCACTGTCACAATAAAGCTCGCTCACTTCAGAAGCCACCTGCATTTTGGGTCCTTTAATAATTCAGACGGCTTGCCCCGGCAACCCGTGACGCTTTGAACCTTATTAAGAACGATGATGGGGACAAGCATCAGTGAAAAATTGCTGCTGTCTTGCTTTTAATGTATTTATACTGTATGTGTACTATACTATGTGTATGTGAATAAAATAATATTTTTTTAAGAAAATGACTCTAAAGGAAAAGCAAGTCCTGAATAAAGGGTTGCTAACTGCAAAAAATGAAGATCTACCAGTGACAGCAAAGGAACTAATTACTTTATATGTGTATGGCGGTCTGAGCTCTTTGTTATCATGTTAATGCTTTGCTTCTTTCTCGGGTATTAATGTAGCAAGGCAGAGAGTGACAACGTTGGCTAATATCAGCAAACCTTAAGAGATATACTGTATCCTCATAATTCACATTACTGAGTGTATTGACTTTGTTCTACTGTTACACACAGATGAGTATTAGGTATATACACATATATCCAAAGCACAGCAATCTGTGGTGCTGCAAAATGAAGGGAAACTGAAAAATTGCAATTCCCTGAATTTTGCATTGTTGGAATTAAATAATTTGCAGTGCCTCAATAATGCTATGCTTTTTTAATAATAAGTGTTATAAAGTTATATAGTGTAGTTTAAGCGGCCACAGCCCTGAAAAATAAAGCCATGAGACCAGGTGTCCTTGGGAGTAGAAAGCTGCAGACTCTCGCTCATGTTTGCCTGTAGATAAGAGGGGACCATCTCCAGTGGAAAGTTACTGAGACACTGTTGTTTAGACTAGAATGAGAGAGCTTCTGTAATAAAACTGTTAGGGGCACAGCAGCATTTTGGGATCGGCAGCCTGTCATGCAGGATGCATCTCCCTTCTAGAAGTAATAAAGTATTAAATGGTCTACTGAGCAGTGTTTTGTCTTCCATCGGATGCCTCTGAGGAATCAAAAGAACTCGGTGAAGTGTTGTTATTAACAGTGTACAACTAAATTTTCCTTTTAATTTAAATTGTGCTCAGGCGGTTGTGTTTTTAGGTGACATGTGGTTGCTGTTCAGTTTCATGTAGAATATCATTTGATCAATGTCTTTTTTCCCCACTTGAATTAGCATCCCACTTGATCCTTGACCCTGGCATGCTTGAAAGACTTACTTGAGCCGACGTAAAGGTAAGTCCTGATGGTGTTGTACACGTCTACCCTCACAAAGTCAGCAGTAGTGTAGTTGTGTACCCCAAGGACTGAGACACTGAAACACAACAAATTTAAATCAGAACACAAAACAAAAAAACATATAAAGCAGGATTTAGTGCTGTAGTAAAACACACAGTTTTTGGAAGGCCAGGCAGGAGGTGCTGTTTATGACACTGGAACTGATCAGGCTCTTTGTGAGGAAGGGCAAGTAGTTCTTGAGGCGTTGGTCAAACCAAGCGTTCACCTCCAACGTTTGGGTGCTGCTGAGGGCCATGGGCCAGACGCAGGGCAGGATGGAGCGCCTCACCGCTTCCGGCAGAGACTCCTGGAGGCAATGCACAGATTAATGTGTTTAATCATTGCATTGTGTTTGCATTTCTGCATGTGCTTGTGCCTCGGGCTACGTACAGTTTCTAGAAACTGTGGTGTCTGGCTGTAGCTGTTGAAGAGCATGCAGAGCTGTGCGTTGTTGTCGACAACATTAGGACGCCGTAGGTAATCCCCAAGCTCCGACGGAGGGATGGAATTTATGATCTAGAAGATTAGAAGACATAAATTAAGACATTCTCCTCTTGCTTTATTATATTTACTCCTGATATCTTTCAAGTCAACACACCAGACTCATTCTGTCAGGAGGCATGAGCGACAGGAAGGCGGTGAGGTTGGGAAACTGGAAACCCATGAAAGATTGCTCCAGGAAACCATAGAAACTGGTGTTGTAGCTGTCACTGTAGCAGCGGAGAGGTGTTGGA